TGAAAAAATGGAAAACTGGAAAAACTGAGAAACCGCAATAGGCCAAAATAAAAAATTAAAAAAAACAATAAATCGAAAACCTGAACAATCAAGTCTCGATAAATCGGAAATGAAAAATTAACAAAGCGAAAAATTGAAAAACAGAACATCTAAAACCAGGAAGTCGAAAAATAGAAAAATTAAGAAATATTGAAAAATTAAAATATCAAAAGATTGAAAAATCTAAAACTTAAAAATCCAAAAATTGCAAAATCGAAAAAGTAAAAAGGTAGACACATCGAAAGACCCAGAAGTCAAAAATAGAAAAGCCGAAGAATTGAAATATTGAAAAATCCTAAAACTGAAATATCTAAAAACCGAAAAATCGAAAAATCAAAAAAGTGAAGTCGAAAAATAGAAACCCTAAAAAATCGAAATATTGAAAAACCAAAAACCTGAAAAATCAAAAAATTAAAGAATTGAAGAACAGGAAAAACGAAACACTCGAAGGTCAAGAAATGGGAAAATCAAAACATCGATTAATTGAAAAATCGAAAAATTAAGAGTTTATAAAAGTGAAATTTGAAAATTCGACACAGAAAAATCCAGGAGTCAAAAATCGAAAAGTCGAAGAATCGAAATATTGAAAAATCCCAAAACTGAAATATCGAAAAACTGAAAAATGAAGGAAAAACTTAAAATGGGAAACTAAATCGAGAAATCAAAACATTGAAAAATCGAAAAATTTAAAACGACAATTGAAAACAGAAAATCTAAAACCGGAAAGTCGAAAAATCGAAAGGTTAAGCAATCGAAAATTTGAAAAATCAAAAAAGTAAAAAAATCCACACATCGAAAACTCCAGAAGCCAAAAATCGAAAAGTCGAAGAATCAAAATATTGAAAAATCCCAAAACTGAAATATCGAAAAACTGAAAAATGGAAAACCTGAAAAATCCGAAACCTCAAATATCCAAAAACTGAGAACCTAAAAAGTCGAAAAATTGAGCAATAGAAAAATCCAAAAAGTGAAGTCGAAAAATAGAAACCTTAAAAAATCGAAAAATTGAGAAATCAAAAACCTGAAATATCAAAAAAATTAAAGCATTGAAGGACAGGAATGTCGAAACCCTCGAAAGTCAAGAAATGGGAAAATCAAAACAACGATTAATTGAAAAATCGAAAAATTGACACTTTATAAATGTCAAATTTGAAAAATTGAAAAATCGAAAATTTGAAAAAACGACAATTGAAAAACAGAAAATCTAAAACCGGGAAGTCGAAAAATCGATTGATTAAGAAATCAAAACATTTGAAAAATTCGAAAACTTGAAAAACTGAAATTTCGAAGAACTGAAATGAAAAATCGAAAAATCTAAAATTTTAAATATTGAAAAATTAAAATATCAAAAAACTGAAAAACCTAAAATTTAAAAATCGAAAAATTGAAAAACCGACAATTGAAAAACAGAAAATCTAAAACCGGGAAGTCGAAAAATCGAAAGATTAAGAAATCGAAACATTTGAAAAATTGGAATATGGAAGAGCTGAAATGAAAAATCGAGAAATTGAAAAATTAAAAATTTAAAAATCGAAAAAGTAAAAAGTGACACATCGAAAAATCCAGAAGTCAAAATTGGAAAAGTCGAAGAACAGAAATATGGAAAAATCCCAAAACTAAAATATCGAAGAACTAAAAATGAAAGAAAAACTGAAAAATCCCAAAACTGATATATCCAAAAACTGAGAATCTAAAGAATCGAAAATTTAAGAAATCGAAATAGGTCAAAATCGAAAAATCGAAAAGTTAAAAATTGAACAATGTATAAATTGAGAAATGGACAATCAAAATATTGAAAAATTCAAATTTCGATAAATCGAGAAATCAAAAAACTTAAAAATTCGAAAAATTGAAAAACTGAGAGATTGAAAGATCCAAAGAACGAGAAATCGAAAAGTGATCAAGTCGAAAAATCGAAAAATAGAGAAATGGACAAACAAAAAGTTAAAAGTTGAAAAATTGGAAAAGCGGAAAAATCAAAAAACGAAAAAATGGAAAACTGAAAAAACTGAAAAACCGAAATAAGTCAAAATAAAAAATTGAAAAAATGATAAATCGAAAACTTGAACAATCAAATCTCAATAAATCGGGAATGAAAAATTAACAAATCGAAAAATTGAAAAACAGAACATCTAAAACCAGGAAGTCGAAAAATAGAAAGATCAAGAAATATTGAAAAATTAAAATATCAAAAGATTGAAAAATCTAAAATTTAAAAATCCAAAAATTTAAAAATCGAAAAACTTAGAAGTCAAAAATAGAAAAGCCGAAGAATTGAAATGTTGAAAAATCCTAAAAACTGTAAAATCGAAAATTCAAAAAAGTGAAGCCGAAAAATAGAAACCTTAAAAAATCGAAAAATTGAAAAATCAAAAAATTAAAGTATTGAAGAACAGGAAAATCGAAACACTCGAAGGTCAAGAAATTGGAAAATCAAAACATCGATTAATTGAAAAATCGAAAAATTTGAGTTTATAAAAGTGAAATTTGAAAAATAAAAAAATCGAAAATTTGACAAAATGACAATTGAAAAACAGAAAATCTAAAACCGGAAAGTCGAAAAATCAAAAGATTAAGAAATCGAAACATTTGAAAAATTCAAAAACTTGAAAAATTGAAATATCGAAGTACTGAAATGAAAAATCGAGAAACGGAGAAATTTTAAAAATTACTAAATCTAAAATTTACAAATCGAAAGTTAAAAAAATCGACACATCGAAAAATCCAGGAGTTAAAAATCGAAAAGTCGAAGAATCGAAATATTGAAAAATCCCAGAACTGAAAAATCGAAAAACTTAAAAAATGAAAGTAATACTAAAAATGGGAAACTAAATCGGTAAATCAAAACATTGAAAAATCAAAAAAATTAAAACAAGACATTTGAAAACAGAAAATCTAAAACCGGAAAGTCGAAAAATCGAAAGATTAAGCAATCGAAAATTTGAAAGATCGAAAAAGTAAAAAAATCGACACATCGAAAACTCCAGAAGCCAAAAATCTAAAAGCCGAAGAATCAAAATAATGAAAAATCCCAAAACTGAAATATCGAAAAACTGAAAAATGGAAAACCCGATAAAATCCGAAAACTAAAATATCGAAAAACTGAGAACATAAAAAGTCGAAAAATTGAGCAATAGAAAAATCAAAAACCTGCAAAATCGTAAGATCGAAAAATTGAACAATAAGTAAACTAAAAAATTCCAAAACTGAAATGTCCAAAAACTGAGAAATTAAAAAATTGAAAAATTGAGAAAACGAAAAAGTCAAAAAAGTGAAGTTGAAAAATCGAAACCTCAAAAAATAAAAAAATTGAAAAAACAAAAAACCTGAAAAATCAATTAATTAAAAAATCGACAAATAAAGAGTTTATAAAAGTCAAAAATTGAAAAATCGAAATATTAAAAAATCGTAAAATTGAAGAGAAAAAATAAATAAGAGTAAACTGAAAAGTCCCCAAACTAAAATTTCGAAAAACTGAGAATTCGAAAGTTGAAACAGCAGAAATTATAGTCGAAACCGGTTAGGATATGTGTCAGATCACGGATCATGGCTTATAAATCAAATCGTTTCCGAACGCTTAGAGTCGACATTGACCTGAGTGCGCTCTGGTCTGTAGATCAAACAAGTAAGCAGCTTGTAATATTCTGGTAAATCTAGTGTCAATTTGTCAAAAGTAAAACCCGTCGTTAAAAATATTATGACATTTTTTCTAGTTAATTTTATTCCTAGTTATAAACAAACACTGTCACCAACATAAGTCGAGGAGTCCTCAACCGTCATTTAATTTAAACTATGACGCTTCTCTATGTTCTCTGCTGTTGACGTTGACGTTCCCGCTGACGTTGTTTTCAGAACTGAAAATTATCATTTCAGATATGTTTTAAATTTCTTGTTGTCGAAATAAGTCTACACATATTAAGTAAAAAAGGCAACATGGAGGCTCCGCCCCATTATTGCAAAATCCATATTTCCTTGCAAAAATGTACCATTTTAACCATGTTCGAAATTTCTTGTTGTGAAAAGATGGCTATGTAAATTAAGAAAAAGAAAAGGAAAATATAAGCCCCGCCCACCCTCCCTGTCTCAATTCTCATGATTTTTTTTATTCATCGTAAGCCGAGGGGCGGGTCTTAATTGCAAGATCCATGTTTCCTTACAAAAATTTACCATTTTAAACGTGTTTTAGGTTTCTAAGAATAAAAAAAATCATCACATTTGAGATGGGGTGGGTGGGCGGGGTTTATATTTTGACTGTTTTTCTTAATATACATACTATTCTTTGAACAACACGATACTCAAAAACATGTTTTTAATTTCTCGTAAAGAAATAAGTATTTTGCAGTTAAGCTCCGCCCCCTTAGTTCATAGCGAATAAAAAAAATCATCGCAATTGAGATCGGGTGGGTGGGCGGGCTTACATTTTGCCTTTCTGTTTTAATATGTGTAGACCTCCTTGTATAAACACATAGTCACTGGCAAAAGCTTTGTCTTGATCTGTCCACCTACGTGCATAAGGCTTTTGTGAAGAGTTACGAATCTGAGAATTAATAAAATCTTTATTGACTGAATTTAAATGTTCATCAATGAAATTAAATTTACCAGAATCATTGAATATTTGCAAAGTTTTAACTTTATCTCTTTCATTTTCAAAAGTTTAGTCAATTTACACATTTTAGACTTTAAATTACGATTAATTTCATACATTTTTGCTTTTCTAGGAGTTGATTGATGCACCCTGGATATTTGCAGCAAAATTTCTTGCGACCGCAATTTGATTAGTTGAAAACCTAACGTCAACGGCAACGTCAACGACAAGTGTGTAAATCGACCTTAATACGTCAAAACCTTTGACTAATATAATTAACCAAATTAACAATAATAAAATACAAGAGCATCTTCAATTACAGACGTAAGCATATACAACTAAAACCAAAATAACTTAAAAAAAAAAACGAAACAAAAATATTAATATGTACATTCTTCATAGTTTTTTTTTACTTTAGTTTTTATCGTCACTTGTACATTTGTGCCATTTTATCACTCCTTCATCCAAATAGCGCGACTTCATGTGCTTTAGTAAATCCCCTTTGCGTTTAGTTTTATATGGACACTCTTTACATTCGTACCATTTAATATTTTGTTTATCCACATGCAAGGCAGTTATGTGTTGTTTTAGATTGCATTTGTGTTTAGTTTTATATGCACATTTAGTACATTCATACCATTTAATGTCTTCTTCACGCAAATGGTGTCTATTCATATGGCTTTTTAAAGCAGGATAGCTTTTATTTTTATGTGAACACTCTTTACAGTGATACCATTTAATGTCTTGCTCATCCAAGTGGAACGCATTTATGTGAACTGTTAAATTGCGCTTCTGTTTAGCTTTAAATGCACACTCTGTGCATTTGTACCACTTAATGTCTTGTTCACGCAAATGGTGTGCATTCATGTGAGTTTTTAAAGTAGAGGAGCTTTTAGTTTTGTGTGAACACTCTTTACATTCATACCATTTAATATGTTGCTCATCCAAGTGTAATATGTTTATGTGTATTTTTAAATAGCGCTTACGTTTAGATTTATAGGGACATTCACTGCATTGGTACCACTGAATTTCGTTATTTGTGTGTTTCAGGTTTTTGTGTGCCCCTTCATGTCTTCTTTTTTTGTGTCTAAGTAAACTATGCTGATATTTGGTCTTAAATTCACATTCATCACAATTACGCCATTTGGGTGGATTCTTTATAGGGTTTATTAAACATTCTTTAGAAGTATGTTGAAGCCACTTTAAAGAAAAATGTGTTTCGAAGCTGCATTTTCTACACACATAGTTTCCACTGGTGAAATTCTCATTCCACACGTTTTTTCTTTGCATGTTGTGACACTCATTGATGTGTTTTTTCATAAGGAGTGTTAGGTCTGTGTGGAATTCACAGTCGCTGCAGTAGTAATTTTCAATTTGGGTAGTTTCACAGTTAAATAAGGCTGAAGAATAATGACGTCGACGGTGGTTCACAAAGAGAAAAAATGATGTTGTAATGTAGGGACATAATTCACAGCGATGCACTTTTTTGAGAGACGCTTTCGAGTGGGAAAACTTTTCTGAGTATTCCAATATCGACATCTTATTTGCCTGAAATTATTTACTCTGGGCACATTTTTGTATAAAAGTAAATATCGAAGAGTTTCTTACCTTGCAAACGAATGTACGGAGCTAAAATTAAAATATAAATAAATGGGGAAATTAAAGCAACTTTTTTCAATAAACTTCATAACCTCAAATTTCAAAATATCTAAAAACGTAGATAGGCAACCAGTAATGTTCAAAAGTTTAATTTTTGTATCCACTGAATTTTAATATGCTGTGAAATAAAAAAAATAGTGAATGACACTGTATCCGTAGCAGGAAGAATCCAGAGTAAACTTCAAAACAATTAAAGTTTTTATTAACCTAACCTCAAACCATGACCAAATAAAATTTCAATTTCTCGATTTCCAAATTTCTCAATTTTTCGATTTGCAACTTTGAATTTTGCAGTTTGCAATTTTTCAGTTCGTCCATTTTTCGATTTTTCAATTTTTCATTTCCTTAATTTTTTCAACGTTCGTTTCGATTTTATACTTTTTCGTTTATTTAGTTTCAAATCTTTGATTTTTCAATTCCTCGATTTTCCAATTTTTAAATTTTTCAATTTTGCAATTTTTTTCGTTTCTCCATTTTTTCAAGTTTTTGATTTCCACATTTTAGATTTTTCAAACATTTTATACGTTTTCGTTTTCTAATTTCTGAATTTTTAATTTTACAAGTTCGTAGTTTTTCCAGTGTTTTGGTTCGAAAAGTCGAAAAATCGAAAAATTGTAACCTTGAAAAATTAAAAATCGGAAAACTTAAAAAAAAGAATTTTCGAAACTGGAAAGTCGAAAACTGCAACACTGAAAGATTGACAAATTGAAAAATTAAATATCGAGAAACAAAAAATTAAAATTCGAAAAATGGAAAAATTTCACATTGAAAGAAAAAATAAAATCAAAACACTGAAAAACCGAAAACTTGAAAAAATAAAAAAAAACGAAACGAGAAATTAAAATCCCAAAAATTGGAAAAATTATAAATTGAAAAATCGAAAAATTGAAAAATTGAAAAATTAAAAATTGAAAACTTGTGAAATTGCAAATCGAAATATTGCAATGAAACATCCAAAACTTTTCATTTTCTTTCGTTTTTCAGTTTGTCTATTTTTTAATGTTTCGGTTTCGTGATTTTTTCGTTTTTTCCCCTTTAATTTTCTCAATATTTCAATTTGTCGACTTGCAATTTTTGTATTACCAGTTGTCTAATTTTCCGATTTTTTAAATTTTCAATATATCGATTTTACAATCCAGATTTCGCTTTTTCGATTTTCCACTTTTCGATTTTCAAATTTCTCAATTTTAGTCTTTCAATTTTTTAATTTTTCGTTTCTGCATTTTTTCAAGTTTTTGATTTCCAGTTTTTAGATTTTTCAAAGTTTTCATTTTATACGTTTTCGTTGTTTCAATTTTACAATTTTGTAATTTTTTCAGTTTTTCGATTCGAAAAATTGAAAATTGAAAAACTTAAGACATGAAAAATTGTACTCTTGAAAAACTAAAAACCGAAAAAAATTAATGAATCGAAAAATTGGAAAGAAGAAAAAACGAATGGAATCGAAAAATTGGAAAAGCCAAAAAATTAAATATCGAGAAACTGAAAAAAAATCTAAAATTTGAAAAATCGAATAAATGAAATAGTTTTAGAATTTAATAAGCCAAAAACAATGGAAAAGTTCTAAAATCGTAAAATTGAAAAAATGAAAAATTTTAAAAAATCTAATAATTATTACATATACGAAAAGTAAAATAAGTGAAGAAAAAAAATATTTTAAATTCAGAACATTGAAAACAGAAAAATTGAAAAAATAAAGAATAAAAACCAAAACGAAAAATTACAAATCCAAAAATTGCAGAAATGATAAATTGAAAAATCGAGAAATTGAAAAATTAAACATTGAAAATTCGTGAATTTGCAAAATCTAAAAACTGAAACATCCAAAACTTATGAGGTTTATCATAAAAATAAAATTCGCAAAATCAAATGTTTCGAAAAATCTGGATTTATTTACCTTAGACCAATTTTTTTGATATCACAATTTTTTGTTTTTCATTTTCTTTCGTTTTTCAGTTTGTCTATTTTCCAATATATCGGTTTCATGATTTTTTCGTTTTTTTTACTTTAATTTTTTCAATATTCCAAATTTTTCAATTTTGCAATTTTTGTATTACCAGGTACCCAATTTTGCGATTTTATTTTTTTTCCACTTTAATTTTTTCAATATTTCAAATTCTCGACTTCCAAATTTTTTAATTTTGCAATTTTTGTATACCAGTTATCCAATTTTGCGATTTTTTAAATTTTCAATATATCGATTTTACAATACAGATTTCGCTTTTTCGATTTTCCGCTTTTCGATTTTCAAGTTTCTCAATTTTTGTCTTTCAATTTTTGAATTTTTCGTTTCTGTATTTTTTCAAGCTTTTGATTTTCAGTTTTCAGATTTTTCAAAATTTTCGTTTCGTACATATTCGTTTTTTCATTTGTGAATTTTCAATTTTACAATTTTGTAATTTTTTCAATTTTTTGATTCCAAAAGTTGAAAAATCGAAAAATTAAAAATTGAAAAACTAAAGACACGAAAAATTGTACTCTTGAAAAACTCAAAGTCCAGAAACTCAAAAATCGAAAAAAAATAATGAACTGGAAAATTATAAAGATGAAAAAACGAATGGAATCGAAAAATAGGGAAACCCAAAAAATTAAATATCGAGAAACTAAAACATTAAAAATCTAAAATTTGAAAAATCAAAGAAACGAAAAAGTTTCAAAATCTAATAAACAAAAAAAAAATGGAAAAATTCTAAAATCGTAAAATTGAAAAAGTGAAAAATTAAAAAAAATCTAATAATTATTACATATTTAATACGAAAACCTAAAAAATGAAGAAAAGAAAAATTTTAAACTCAGAACATTTAAAACAGAAAAATTGAAAAAATAAAGAATAAAAACCAAAGCGAAAAATTACAAATCCGAAAACTGCAGAAATGATAAATTGAAAAATCGAGAAATTGAAAAATTAAAAATTGAAAACTCGTGAAATTGCAAAATCAAATGTTTCGAAAAATCTGGACCAATTTTTTTGATATCACAATTTTTTGTTTTTTATTTTCTTTCGTTTTCAATTTGTCTATTTTTCAATGTTTCGATTTCGCGATTTTTTCGTTTTTTCCACTTTAATTTTTTCAATATTACAATTTCTCGACTTCCAAATTTTTTAAATTTTCAATATATTGATTTTTCAATACAGATTTCGCTTTTTCGATTTTCAAGTTTCTCAATTTTAGTCTTTCAATTTTTGAATTTTTCGTTTCTTCATTTTTGATTTTTCGATTTTACAATTGTGCAATTTTTTCATTTTTTTGATTCGAAAAAGTGAAAAACCGAAACATTGAAAATTGAAGAACTGAAAACACGAAAAATTGTAACCTTGAGAAAGTAAAAATCGAGACTTAAAAATCGAAAAGTAAGTTTAAAAAAGTGAAAAATTTTAAAAGATCTAATAATTATTACATATTTAATACGAAAACTAAAAAAATATGAAGAAAACAAAAATTTTAAACTCAGAACATTGAAAACAGAAAAATTGAAAATATAAAGAATAAAAACCAAAACGAAAAATTACAAATCCAAAAATTACAGAAATGATAAATTGAAAAATCGTGAAATTGCAAAATCTAAAAACTGAAACATCCAAAACTTATAAGGTTAATCATAAAAATAAAATTTGCAAAATCAAATGTTTCGAAAAATCTGGATTTATTTACTTAGACCAATTTTTTGTGTTTCATTTTCTTCCGTTTTTCAGTTTGTCTATTTTTCAATGTTTCGGTTTCGTGATTTTTTTTCGTTTTTCCCACTTAAATATTTTCAATAATCCAATTTCTCGACTTCCAAATTTTTCAGTTTTGCAATTTTTGTATGACCAATTATCCATCCCATTTTGCGATTTTTTAAATTTTCAATGTATCGATTTTACAATACAGATTTCGCTTATTCGATTTTCCACTTTTCGATTTTCAAGTTTCTCAATTTTAATCTTTCAGTTTTTGAATTTTTCGTTTCTGCATTTTTTCAAGTTTTTGAATTCTAGTTTTTAGATTTTTCAAAGTTTTCATTTTGTACGTTTTCCTTTCTTAATTTTTGATTTTTCAATTTTACAGTTTTGTAATTTTTTCAGTTTTTTGATTCGAAAAGATGAAAAATCGAAAAATTGAAAATTGAAAACCTGAAGACACGAAAAATTGTACTCTTGAAAAACTCAAAGTCGAGAAACTCAAAAATCGAAAAAAAAATGAATTGGAAAATTATAAAGATGAAAAAACGAATGGAATCGAAAAATAGGAAAACCCAAAAAATTAAATATCGAGAAACTAAAACATTAAAAATCTAAAATTTGAAAAATCGAAGAAACGAAAAAGTTTCAAAATCTAATAAAAAAAAAATATGGAAAAATTCTAAAATCGTAAAATTGAAAACGTGAAAAATTAAAAAAAATCTAATAATTTTTACATATTTAATACGGAAACTAAAAAAAATAAAGAAAAGAAAAATTTTAAACTCAGAACATTTAAAACAGAAAAATTGAAAAAATAAAGAATAAAAACCAAAACGAAACATTACAAATCCGAAAACTGCAGAAATGATAAATTGAAAAATCGAGAAATTGAAAAATAAAAAATTGAAACCTCGCAAAATTGCAAAATCTAAAAACTGAAACATCCAAAACGTAAAATGTTTATCATAAAAATAAAATTCGCAAAATCAAATGTTTCGAAAAATATGGATTTATTTACCTTAGACCATTTTTTTTTATATCACAATTTTGTGTTTTTCATTTTCTTTCCTTTTTCAGTTTGTGTATTTTTCAATGTTTCGGTTTCGTGATTTTTCTCGTTTTTTCCACTTTAATTTTTTCAATACTTCAATTTTGCAATTTTTGTATTACCAGTTACCCAATTTGGCGATTTTTTAAATTTTCAATATATCGATTTTACAATACAGATTTCGGTTTTTCAATTTTCGGCTTTTCGATTTTCCAGTTTCTCAATTTTAGTCTTTCAATTTTTGAATTTTTCGTTTCTGCATTTTTTCAAGTTCTTGATTTCCAGTTTTTGAATTTTTCAAAGTTTTCATTTT